GAATTAGTAGCAATTTCTTGAACAAGAGAATTGAAGAGTTTTATTATGGACCAAAGTCAATATATACAAATCTTCAAGTTTAGCACATGAAATAATAAACTACTACTATATCTCAAAAAATAATATAATGGAAACGTGCCATTGAACAAGTGGATTAAAGATTCCTGGAAGAATTGTTTCTCTCATATAACTTATTAAATATGTGAATTTGAACTTCAAATTGATGTAATTAAATCAGTCATTTTCAATAATTTAGTAGGGATTCAAGCAGAGGTGGTGGTCTATTGTAAGTTTTTTTTTTTCCAATGAATTATCTTGACTTTATACACGTGCCTGAAATATTTGGTTTTAAAATCACTATCATGCAACTTGAAGAATTCTTTATAGGTTAGTTTATCTGAAAATATGATTGTAATTGTTTTTAAAAATATTTATTATTTAGAAATATATTAAAATAGTATTTTTTAATTTTATAAAAATTATTTTTGATATCAATGCATCAAAATAATTTAAAAACAAAAAAAATAATTTAAGATAAAAAAAAAATAATTTTTTTCAAAAATATTTTAAAATATAAAAAAATAAATAGAATTAACAAAACTAACAAGTCTCCGGTGGTTTTAAGATTGCTGTTCATTTAAGGTGGTAATACCTGGACAGAATTGTCGGGGAAAAGCCGCCAGGGAAGAAGCGGTCCAGGTGCTTAAACAGGTTTGATTTATTTTTTTTCATATTCAAACTCTGCGGCCCAATATCTTTAAAACAAGAATATTCATTTGAATACATCGTATTGATGTAAAAAATATATTTTAATTTTTTTTGAATAAAATAATTTAATTCTAATTAATATATAAATTAATGCACAAGTAAATTCATATACGTTTGGGTGAAAAAAAAATTCTTTTCAAGATAATAATTATCTTGTTATCGTGTTTTTAGAATACATAAAACATGGTTATAAAACATGGTTATTAAATCTGATCTAATGTTTAATTTAGTGCAAGGTAGAAGTTATTAAAAATTTAGTTATTTAATTTAAATTAATTATTTTAAAAAAATTATGATGAAATTATTTTAAAAAAATCAAGTTAGGGTCAATTCTGAATTGATTTTTTCTATAACTGGCTTAAGTTGGAAACAAGTCAATTAAGACTAATTATTTGTTAAAACGAGTTTAATAATTGATGAATTTTAAAATTTGAATTAAAAAAATTATTAGTAAATATAAAAATAATTTTAAATTACTCTCGTGATCATACATGTAGAATTTATCTTAATTATAAATTAAGATTAAAAAGTATGAGATTAGATTGATGAAAACTATTATGGCATTTTCCTTTTCATCTTTAAACAAAGTCTCATAAACCGCTTGTGTTTGTGATCGATTTGTGAAGGGGGACCAAATTATCAACCTTAGGGAAGTTGGAGATTTATGATGATATTTTAAAAAAGTGTGATGTTAGGAATACTAATTAATTATTCTGGATTATATGGTAAACAGCCTTTTCAAAATACATGGAATTTGAATAATATCTATACAATATAAAATAATTAATAAAAAAATCATTCAACAATAAGATTTAATAAGAGTTTCAAGTATTTCTAGCAAACTCCTTGCTTTATTTGATGCTGGAGAAAATATATTTAACCCTAAATCTTAATTTACATTGATTGCTTTCAGCTAGAGTGGACCATGCATAATTAAAGCCTCTAAACAAATCTAATAATAGATGGAGCCTTCTTTTTAAGTCAAACAATATAAAATGGAAAAATTATCAATATATAGTGAATTCGTGATAGATCTATTAACTAATACCGTATCTATCAACATCTAAGACTTTAAAAACTACATAAGAAATAATTATTGAGGCGAATATATATATATATAATGGGCCACATTGGATGTCCCACCATTGATGTCGCTTATTCTCCGGTGACATCGGGGCCTAAAGCTGAAATCTGCTTTCTTCATCCATAAATTTTATTGATTCAACCAGGCTTCATGCCTTGTTACTAAGAGAAAACTCAAGAGTTCTTGTAATAAAATTCAAGTAATTAACACTATAGTTTCATCACATCCTAGTACATTTCAAAATCAAAAAGATGATATCATATCTTTCCCGTTTATCTTTGATCCAGCGAAAGGTAATTCATAAGCAGGGTAAACCTTTCATAATCAAGTAATTGATTAATCACACCTTGTGAAATTAGAGGAATAAATTAATTTTGTGTTTTTTACGTGACATATGGCTAAGAGTTATGGATTGTGAGTTCAGATTAAATTAAAAAATATATATATAAATACACTGAATGATCTGTGAATGACTTGATCAGAAAATGATTTAGGTTTAACATACAAAGGAGGATATAAGACCTAAATATTAAAGAAAAAAACTACTATTTTTTTCCATATGCAGGAATCAGCAAAATACGTGGCATTATATATATATATCCTTCAAAATCATGAGCATGAGACGTGTATTAGGTGAGGAGTTAGCTAGAAAGTGATTCAAGATATATGGTGCTTGTCCAACGTTTATATAGTGATCAAAGCATAGTAATCATGCCTCATTGATATATAATGCTGGATCTCTTTATTTTGTCCTAACCTCTCTGGGTGCTTTTCGGGGCCATTCATGCATACAAGCCATTGTCAATGGATATATCATGCTTGGGAGCAATGACGACGAGGGAGGTGATTAATTAAATATGCATGGGGTAGTCAGCTTAATTAATTGGATGACAGCTTGTGCTCGATCCCTTTACACCTGCTTAAAATTTTCTCACTTAATTTTTTTTTTCTCCAGAATAAGATTACTAGATTAATTACCTAGCAATCGAAATGAAAGAGACTTGGATTTTTATGTGCAAGGACAAGCATAAGACGCGATTCTTCAAATTTACAATTCATTTATACTCGACCGACCAAAAATTTAATTAGTATTTGTGAACTTGCAATGACAAAGTTTTAACACCTCTCAAGTGGGATTCGAGGGAGAAACTTGTTTTCGTCACCAAGGAATGCTTCATGGGTTTAACAACTAGTTATTTATTTATTTCACTATGAGGCTCAGGAGTTGGTCCTATTGTATCATTGGAACCGAAAAAAACTATAATTATTGGGACTCAAATCTTATCTAAGCGAAGAAAACTATATAATTCGCAACTATTAGATTTAAACCTGCTCATGTAAAAGAGGAAATTGCATAGAAGAAATCCTCATTCATAAAAGATAATGTTAATATTTTTCATGAATGCATGGTTTTAGATATTTATGACTCGTCTGAATCAGACTGATTAATTTTTTTTAATAATTTTAATACATGAAATCTAACCCATTTAATGTATGTATTTACTCTCTGATCTTTTGAGTTTGAATTTTGAAAGTAGTATTTAAATTTTTTTTATCTCCATTAGATATAAAATATATATTTTGATGTATGTTTGTTTTTGTAGTTTAACATGTTTTTTAAAATGCCTTTTAAACTAGATTTTTGCTTGAAAATATATTAAATAGATATTTTTAGGTTTTTTTAATAATTTTAATATGTTAATATAAAAAAATTATTTTGCTATATTTTTAATATTAAAAAATATTTTTATAAAAATATTATTTACCAAACTCAAACTTAATATCATTTGAAAAATAACACATTCTTAATTGATATAATAGTTTCCAGGATTCCCTCCTCATCAAACTCATATATATATGTATATGTATGTTGTTCGAAATTTAAAACGCGAGGCTCTGGCCCGTGCAAATTTGGAATATAGAAACCATTGACTTCACTTGACAACTGAGAGGTCCCCTTGATCTTCCAATGGACATGACAACTGAGACGCGATTAGAAAATTTAGCGAACCTGCAATTAGCAGAGACTTAGGGAACTGATGCATGCACCGAATGGAAAACAAAGGACAAATTAATGGAGCTTCTGGGCCAAACAACCACTAACCCCCAGCTATAGTACTATACCGCTATAAAACCCTAAACCGTCTCTTTCTGCTAAGGCATTTGACTTCGAGGAAGGTGGGGTGTATTAGGACTCACAAAACTTAAGCATGCGTCACTGACGAGTCAGTGGGTGACAGGTTAGTATCAAATTAATTCACATTTTTTGTTTTGTTTTTCTTGTAATCAAGCATAAATCCACGGGGAGTACTGCTGGAGCAGTATCTCTTGGCTACTCAACAAGATTAAATTCCACCATCATCGTTTATTACCTTCCAATATCTCAAGTTTGCTCCCACTCCTGGCATTTAGTTGATGGGTAAATCAACTGATTAACTTGCTAGCTAGGGATCATGGCCGGCCCCGTGGCCATAATGAGAGTAAAGAGAGCACGGGTGCCTGTGCTCTGGTGGAATACTTACCAACGTTTCTTGCTATATATCAAAGCAATTTATGCATGGTAACTCTTTCCATAGGGAGAAACAGGGCAAAACTTCGTACATGATCAAATTGTATAATAGGTAATCAGCTCTTTCCATGGAGAGAAACAGGGCAAAACTTCGTAACATGAAATTTTATACATTAGGCAAGGCAAGAGACATGACAATTTCACTTATTATATTCGATGTTATACATATATAGAGATTAAAGGTTAGTTTTCGTAGATCTAGATGTACCTATACGTATCGATACATCTTTATAGGATAGTTACATCAACTTATCAAATCAACAACAAATCCTTTGATGACAAAGGTTCCATAAATTTATTTATAGGCTTGAAATATATTCTATGGTTGAGGGGCCATGCATGTTAACCTTTACTCGGCATGGCCTCGTGGTATTTGACGAAGCCAAGTCAATGGTCGCGTTTGCATGGAATGGAATTAGTCCACATAATTTCCAGTATCTTGTTCATAAAAAACAAACTAGTCATGAATATTTTTCGCAAAACCAAAGCTGGTTTATGAAGACTTGCCGTTGGTAGACTTTTGTGTTCTCCCTAGTCCCTATATAACACCTCTCCTTCAACATGCCTCTTCACCCCATCACCATTTCTGTTTCTCTCTTCTCTTTCTTAAGGTAGTTGTTTAGCTATATCTAGTGGTCCAAGGTCTCACTCGTTTCTTGTTATATTTTGAATACAAATCATTGTTTTCTTTCCCCTTGTCATATCTATACTATATTAACTAACAAAGTTGCATTAATATTATTTCAGCCATGTCACCGGCATTGGTCTTGGAAGTTCAAACCATTTGCAAAGAAGATGAGCTAGTAGAAAGTCATGAGTACCAAAAAGGAGTGAAACATCTATGTGAGAGAGGGTTGACAAAAGTGCCTAGAAAATACATATTGCCGGCATTGGAGCGTCCTCTTTTATCGAGAAAAGATGGCGCTACTAATCTCAAGCTGCCTATAATCGATATTGCTCAGCTGCAAGGTCCAGATAGAAATCATGCCCTCGAATCCCTTTCAAAAGCTTGTGAAGAATATGGTTTTTTTCAGGTGAGCATGATTGATTTACCACTTCAGCGAATTAATTATATACCCTTGGTTTTAGTTTTAATTTTGGTTTATGCAGTTGATAAATCATGGCATCGCAAGCGATTCCGTTCTCGACATGATTCAAGGAGCAAGGAAATTCTTCGAGCTTCCTTTCGAGGAGAGGTCGAAGTACATGTCGAAAGATCAGAGTGCACCAGTTAGATATGGAACAAGTTTTAATCAGAACAAAGATAGGGTGTTTTGCTGGAGAGACTTTATAAAGCTTAATTGCCATCCCCTGTCAGATGTTCTTCCTTATTGGCCTTCTTCTCCTGCCGAGCTAAGGTGAGAAATCTGCACTAATATTGCACCTAATATGAGCTTCATGTTTCTAGCATGATGCTGTGAATCCGGTCCTACTCAATTACCTGCTCAAATAAATTAGATTACATGATTAATTATTCCCTTAATTGTAAGTGTCAAGTGTATTATTATACATGTCTCCAATAATTATTAATTGTTAATTCCATGTTTAATTTATTAACAGGCAAGCCGTGATTAACTACTCGAAAGAAACAAAATCCTTGTATCTAATGCTTGCGAAAGCAATATTAGAGAGCCTAGGATTGGTTGAAACAGATAAAAATATCGATGAAAATGATAGCTGTGATCTCTTAAAGGAATTTGAGGATGGGAGCCAACTCATTGTGGCAAATTGCTACCCTTCATGTCCTGAACCAGACCTTACACTTGGCATGCCACCCCATTCAGACTATGGATTCCTTACACTACTTCTCCCAGATGAAAAGGTTAAGGGTCTGCAAATTCAGCATGAAGGGAGATGGGTCACTGTGGAACCAATTCCCAATTCATTTGTTGTTAATGTTGGTGATCATCTTGAGGTTAGTTCATTAAGCATTAATTACCAAGTTTAACAGTTTTTGAATTACCAATCCATGCATAATTAACCCTTTTTTCATCATATGGCAGATTTTTAGTAATGGGAAGTACAGGAGTGTACTCCATAGAGTTCTAGTCAATCCTTTGAAGTCTCGAATCTCCATTGCCTCGTTACACAGTTTACCTTTCAACAGCATGATTCGTCCATCGCCAAAACTCGTCAATGATGCTAATCCAAGGCGGTATAAGGATACAGACTTTGCGACTTTTATTCAATACATGGCATCTCATGAACACAAGAACAAGAACTTCCTGGAGTCCAGGAGATTGTCTCAGCTAGGCGATGCATGAGTTTTTCTTTTTTTTTTAAAAAAAAAATAAATATATATATTTTTAGTTATTTTTATTTCTTTAGTATAGGAGTTTTTTTTTCTATTAAGTATTATTATGTTTTTTTTAGTTTATTTAAAGAGATCGAGTAATTTTTCTCTCTTGTTTTTTCTATCTAATTTTACTAGGGTTTTCTAATTTTTTTTCCCTTTGTAATAATCTTTTAGCAAGTGAAACTTGGATAAATAAAAATTGAATATCTTTTCATGATAATAAACAAAATATCAAGTACAAGAAGCTTGCCTCTAGCACAGGCAAATCAAAGCGCAGTAAAGACTTGTTAGGATCGGTGCTAGAGTTACAGAGAACACTATTCTGCTGTTTTATCAGTAAAAATAAAAAAGAAACTAGGTAATTAATTAAGAAGCTTATACTTTTTCGTAAGCTCTTTAATCTATCCCCTGTTGAATCTTATTTTAATATATACACAGCTTTCTCTTTGCTATTTGGACGCATCTTGTATGATAATTAAGGAAGACAACTGAAGAAACTTAGGGTCAGGACAAAAAAGGTGGTGCTTAGTAGTAAAAATCAAAGAAGAAATGTGAAGAAACCTAGGGTTATTTGTAGGTTATTAAGTAACTTACAGCCATTTGCTAATCTATCCTCCATTTTCACTGCTGTATATAAATCCTCTGGAGTCCATGCTTTTGATCCATAAAGATTTTTTTTGCTATATTCAAAGCGAACGGGGACTCTAATCCCTACACTTGCATGTTAGAGGCCCAGATCTTGAAGGGTCCACCCTTGTCCATTAGGTCCCCGAGCCCATGCACGTTGACAAATTCCTTCATCAGCAGCACTCCAAGATGTTGAAAATAAATTAAAGAAACGAAAGTGATTGTGCGTGTTTGGCTTAGTCACCATAGAGGACCTCACGCAACGTACAATGACAAGATTTTTTTTTTTAAAAAAAAAATACGATTTCACAAATTTTAAAATGGTTGTTAAACTGCAGAGAGAATTTAATTAAATAAATTTTGAATTTCCGTAATTCAATGCCAGTAATGTACAAAAGTATTTTTGAGCAGAAAATCGAGTTGATCTCGCTAATAAACCAAGATTAAATATATTTTTTAAACTTAACTAGAAAAAAACCAATAAAGAAAATAAAGAAAATCTTGAAACATTTTATGGGATTGTAGCTTGAACTCATAATTAAATTAAAAGTTATGCTTAATGAGTGTTATTAATAAGCTTATTTGACTTATTCAAACGTGATATTAGATTTTGTCATAGAGCCTAAACATGTTTAGAGAATTCAAATATTTTTTTAACTGAGTTTATTTTTTAGTTTTTGTGTTTGTAATAAAATAAATATAAAAAAGTGTTTGATAGTAAATTAAATTGATTTTTTAACTATGAAATCCGCTAAAAAATTAAATTAAAACTTAATTTTTATGCAGTAGTTTTTATATTCTGTATTTGTTTTTAGTATTAAAAATATTTTAAAAAAAAATAGTTTTTTTATTTTTTTATTTTAAATTAATATTTTTTTAATATTTTTAGAGTTAATTTAAAATTAATTTTTAAAAAATAAAAAATAGTTAATTTAAAATTAATTTTAAAAAAATAAAAAATATATTTCAATATAACTTTAAATAAAAAATATTTTAAAAATAATTACAACTATCCTTTTAAATGAGATTAAACACACAACTACTTTAAAAACAAAGTTGGTACAAATTCAAATTTTCACACGTAGACTTGTATATGCAATATGAATTCTGAATCGATCAATTTATCAACAGCTTGAATTTGGAAAAATAAACTTTGAAATTCCGACATTTGACCACGAAGTTGCTGCTGGTGATGGATCCTTGTTATGACACACCGCCTTCCCGTACCAATTACAAGGACTTGTATCTTGCTCGAAGCACGGACTCTACCTTGGTGGCGGTCTTTTGAAGGCGCAGATGATGTCTTACCAGTGACTTCGAAGAAATATCTAGCTGAATTTCTTGCATATCATTTTCATTGCTTCTGCAGCCTTCGACAGATTGTCCTGTAAAGGTAGGTTTGCCTTTTTGACAAAAATTACTTATTGATTTTCATACTTGTCCGTCTCTTTCTTCTACCTTTTTTTTTTTTTTTTAAGTTGTTATTCTCGTTCCGGATATTAACTTTTAAAAGAATTTAGTTATCAATCTATTGGATTAATTTAAGTTAATTATTTTTATTAAAATAATATTTTTTTTATCTTAGTTATTAATTCATATAGGTTTAATCAATTCAACTAGATTATTAAAAAATTAGCTGGATGGAATGAATTTTATTGGTTTGGTATATTATTAAAGTCATTAAAAATCTATATCAAACTATAAATATCTAGTTTTCTAGTAAATTCATAATACCAAAATAAATTTAACAACTATATTTTTCTGATTACGGTAATTTTTTTTCTCCTAATTTTCTTATTTTTTAATGATTTTTTTATGTTGTTAATTTTTTCTCAACTTTTTAGTTAAATTTAATTATTTTTTTATAGAAAAACTATTATTTTTTTTCTTTTCTTCTTTAGTTATGCTGAATAATTAAAATCTTAGTTGAATTAAATAAATTTTGTTGAGTAAATTTCTTATTAAATTCAACTAAAAACTCGTACCGAGCTCTAAATCTCCGGTTTTTTAAGATAGTGTTTGACATTACAGTAATTATTATTATTTATTTAAAAATATATTAAAATATTATTTTTTAAAAAATATTTTTGATATTAGCACATCAAATCAAAACAATTTAAATATATAAAAAAATAAATATAAAACAACAACAAAATATTAACTTTTTTAAAAAGCACTGCCACACCATATAAACAAACACACCTGTTAATAAAACCACCATATCAAATTTATAAACTATATTATTTCTGCTTACATTATTCCTTCAATGTTTTTGTGTGCTCCAATTTTTTCAAGCCATCACAAACACACACACACACACAGATTGCCGAAGGTGAGAATTTCATTTTCCCTGGAGAAAAAAAAAAAAAAACTATGCTCGGGCCGGGTATGCTCATCATCGTTCAAACGACGGTATATAAAGGCAAAAGAACTTATAGTCTCTTGACCAGATCTCCAGAGAAAATTTATCGTAACCCAGTCCACTTTTCCGCAGTGAAGTTTGCCGCTGGATCACTGTCATTTTGGCAACATGGCGTCGATGCTTTATAGCGAGGTCACCTTCATGACTAGCCCACCCTGAGTAATAAATTGAGGACATGGAAGTCAATCATTTTTTTTTCTTCCTGATTTTAACGGTTTCTGTATCAGAATCTGTCCATTGAAATTAAAATTAAATCCCTTCTTGATTTGTTCTTGCATAGACTTTCCATGTTTATTTTTTTCAAAATAAATTCGAGAAGATAACGTACGCAGACAAAAACTATCTCGTGTTCACAACGAAGACCGACGGCTATGTCTAAATCAGTATGTTCATGGATAAAAATATCTTCAATTATAAACTTGGGTAAAATATTCAAAAGGTGATCGAACCTAATCCACTACACAGTAATTAATTTACCAAATGGGTTGGATAGACGTAATGGGAAGGATTGATGCCACTCTTGGAACAATCATAACACATATCATTGGCTTTTGGCGAAGAAAATTGGCGTGTGAGTTCAATAAGTTTTGGCATCCACCTAACAACTCCAGCCCATTGGACTCTAATTCTCCAACATCATATGAAAGCATGAGTTAGCAAGCACTGTCTTGTGAACCAAAAGAACAAGAAGACAACAGGACAGGGCGACGAATCTTGAGAGCCAACATGCAAGGCGGCATCACGTGAACAAATTTTATTCCAAAATCTAATGGGAAGGCAAAGAAATAAATGTTATATCAAAACTTCGTATTCATTTGGTTTGGTCCCTTGTCTCAACCCATAATACATCACTAATTGCATCCCCTGTAAGCTGCGGCCCCCGAGCCAGCATATATCCACTTGGAAGTTCTTCAGACAACAACTGCAAACGCCAAGAACTTCTGTAATTTTTATTTGTGTTCTGTCCCCATCTTCCTTCACAGTTTCTTGGGTTGCCACATAGCTCTGTTTTTGATAAACGTTGCCCATGTCTAGATGGACCTTAGTGTATGTTTGACATCAATGCGGTTGGTTTTGTCATTGTGGTTTGAAGATGTAAGCTAAGAAAAACTATAAATTATATATATATATATATATATATATATATATATATATATATATATGTATATATTTTTTAATTAATGTTTCAATATAGTTTTCTCCATAAAAAAAATATCTAAGTAGGACCGGGTTATAATTTGATAATTCCATAACCAAGTTAGACTCTTAAGAGATTCAACAGGAGAAGCAATTCCTCGAGAAACAGCTTAGCTAGTAAATACATATACATGTTCTACACTCTGTCAACCAGGATTTAATTCCAATAGTAATGAAACATATTTCCTCTTGAACATGAATGGTATGTTCTTTACAAAGAATATAAATTGTAAAAAATGAAAAAGAAAATAAGGATTAGAAAGCTATAGAAAAAGAAAGCAGAAAAGCATAAATAAGGAGAAATTATTAGACATATCAGGAGTTGTACTCCACCTTTCTCTTAAGAATACAAGAGCCGCTATAAAAATAATTCATGAATCTCATGACGTTTTTGTAGAGGGAGAAGTATAATTCCCGGTACACCGAAGAATTTCTCTAAACGAAATGCAAACATGCTCCAATTAAATAGACTACCATATCAAAGCAAATAAGAGATTGATGAATGTCTCTTCATGTTTGCAGTTTCCGTGATACGATGAATTGATTACTCTGATGATAATTTATCGGCATTGATGTGATTAGGATGTATGTTAAAGCGTGATTTTGAATTGGGATGGCGTTGTTCGTGGAGGGATCGTCAAGATCCGGCATCCCGAGAGAGGTTACGGTTAATTTCGTTACCGTTAAAGAAGTGTAACTATGGAACCATTTTACTAGGGATCAGTTGCAGTGGATTCTTTGCTATTTTGTGATTGCTTGGTTGTTTATTAATTGATTGCAGGATTTTTATTGAAATCCATGTTTCCCACTTCAAATCTTTGTAAAAGGGCGTGAAGAGATGAGAGACAATTTGGTAAACACGAACATTTTGGCAAACCTTACTGCCAAAAGTTTCTAAATCTTCGTTGAGAGAGATTGCAGTGAGCTTACAGAAGAAAACCTGAAGGTTAGAAAATTGAGATCCCAGACGTGCAACCTTGAAGAGGAGCTGAGAAAGAAGGAAATTATTAGCTAAGAACTTTTCACCGATCATTTTGCAGATTCAATGTGCAGATCTACCGTAAGTCTACAAGAACAGTTAGAACGAAAAGAAATTGAGATTGATACAGTATAAAAACAGTTAGAACGTCATGAAGAAATGGAAACCAGGGCCAATGACCATCCTGCAAACATCTGTGCAGACGTCAAGCTTTTCAACTCACATGCATGCTGCCGCTGAAATGGCCAAAACATTATCTGAGTTGCAGGAACATGTTTAGCGGATGTGAAGAAGAAACAGTATGATCTTTGTTCATTTAATCATGTTTAGCGAATGTGAAGAAGAAACAGTATGATCTTTGTTCGCCTACAAGTGGGAAATCTAGTTCTGCTTTCAGTAAATCCGTGATTTCAAATGCTATAGATTTGTTTAATCAAAATGAGTAAGCAATTAAAGCCTATTTTGAACAGTTTCGTCCAGCTAAAAGATTTGTTTGAAGAAAAATCTGCTTCTTTCGAGCATGAAGTTTTTGATGTGATAAAATTCAAAATATATAAATAATAAGTTATTTAGTGCGTGAAATTATATTTAATTAATATGTTTAAATATTTGAAATTTTTTATTTTATTCTAATAAATTTCAGGTTTATGGTAAAATTTTAAGTGCATGTAAAAATAGTCTCAATCATGGAATCTAAAGACACTCTAATAATAAAATTATTATATTTATGAGAATAACAATAAATATTTTTAGATAACAAATAATTTAAAAAAAAAATTAAATTCAAAAAACAAATATATTTATTCTTAAGTTTTAAGTGTATTAATGCTTTAAAATCTATATAAGTTTATCTTAAGAGATTAAAAGTTTTGAATCCTTGCCTGAATAGTTTAGGGATATTTATAATATTTAAATTTTATTGTTTTTGGATAAAAAAATAATTGGAATTTCCTTTATTTTTTATGATATTAATAAAAGATAAATGTTCTTTACCAATTATTAAAAAATTATTATATTAATATAAATAATTATTGTAGATAGAAATACATGACGGGAAAGATAAATATTTAAAGATAAATGTTCTTTACCAATTATTAAAAAATTATTATATTAATATAAATAATTATTGTAGATAGAAATACATGACGGGTTATCATGCATTCAAGATATAAAGATATGGTGGTTCATCACGCTTAATTCTTTGAAGGAACAAGAGATGGATACTCTAAGGAGTTCTGAGATGGGGCCAGAAACTGAGGTTTCTAATCTTCAGAATGGGAAACAGTGGTTGCAGAAAAATATGGAAGCTACGCTAAGAGAAAGCACTATGGCCTCTAAATGCATGGATGATTTATGAAAAGAAATGACGGTGGTTGGTAGTAACTTGGGTTTGCAGGCTTTAGCCAAGGAAATTTTGGAGAAGTTGTCAGAGCTGCATATGTGGCTGGTAGCACAGTTAAGATATTTGTCCAACGATAGGGAATCGAACCTCGTGGAATTGCATAATTTAGAACCTCGTAATACGAGTCTCCGAGAAGAATGAGAATATTGGGAAGTGAAATGGAGGCACAAAAGGTTGATAGGAAGCAAAAGCTGAGGACATGCAAATGCTGAAAGTCTTTTCGAAGAATGCAGTTTGCTTCAGAAATCAAATGCAGAACTGAGGAAGCAAAAGATGGAGTTACATGAGCATTGTACAGTCTTGGCAGCTGAGCTAAGGGATTCTGAATTATTTTTTTCCTGATATGTCCAAGGAAGTAGAAGATCTTGAAGGTAAACATATTTTGCTGCAGGAAGAAATAGCCTCGAATTAATAGCTAGCCCTTAGTGGAGAACTTGATTAGCTTCTTCAAGAAAACAATGAATATAAACGAAACTTGCAACGGAAGAGAGCATTCTGAATCAGATTCATTTAGAGAAGACAGTTGAAGCTGGGAATCTTCAAAGAGAGATTGCATATCTGACCGAACGGCAACTCATGTCAAAAAGTAAAGGACAAATTCAGAATTAGCTGTGGTTGAAGTGCCTCAATTTCGTTCGGATAAAGCTATGCTGGAAGATTCTCTGCAAGAATTACATGGAAAACTTGAATTATCTGAGATCAATCTCAGTTGGATGCGGCACAATAAATAATAAAAATTGAAACAAAAAAAGAAGTTTTAGGGAAAAAAAGCTAAAGAAAAAAAAAAGAGATTACAGTGATTGGAGACTTAGAGTTGTGCATGAAATTGCTGCTTCCAAACAAAACTAGCTAGGAAGTTCTGATTGCTGATTATTAAAAGCTATTTGAACTGCTAGAAGATGCCAAATCCAAAGAAGAGAAACATAAAAGCATTGTTAAGGGGCTGGAATTAAAACTTAAAGTTTCTGCATATGAGAAGCAACAAATTACAGAAGAAACTTCCAGGCTTGGGATCCAATTGCTGAAAACATCACTGCTTCAAGATGAGATTCGGGATCTTAAAAGAACACTTAATGAGGTCAAATTTGAAAATAAAAAACTTGAATCTTCATTGCATATTTTATCAGGGGATAACGGGGAACTGAAGGCTGAGAAAATCCTGTCTATGTAAGAGATTCCTGACATGCAGCTATTGCTGAATTAGGAGACTGCAGACATTGTAAAGTTTCCCTTGAGGAGAAGCTTTTCGACTGGAAGGGGATTTAACTGCAAGAAAAACAATAGGTGCCCAGGATGCTGAGCTGAAAATGAGCTTGCCCGGGTGAAGAGAGGAAATAATGAATCCCAGAGGAAGATGAGATACCTTGAAGAGGAAAAGCAGGAGTGCCTGAAGAGAACCCAGGCACTTAAAGAGGAGCTGAGCCAGAGGAAAGAAGAAGACGATCAACACTAATCCAATGACGCAAGCCTTCCCTCTTTTTCCTGGATCCAGTAAAATGACTACTACTTCTCCTGGTGAATTGAATCTCTCACAGGTCAGTACCAACAATTAATTATATATCATGTTCAATTGAAAATAGTTTATGCATGCAACTATTTAGATGACAAATAATTAAATTGAAGATAATCTCTAACCAAATGAAGAAAGAGGAGGCAAGTGATTTAGAAGTGTTATCTATGGGATAACAGTCAAGTCTAATTCACTATGTTTTATTTGCTGCCTCTGTTTCAGTCTGTTAACTGATGGACTTCAGGTTGATGGATGAAGATGCAGTAGTAGAGAGACGGATACGAGGGCAAGAAATCGTCACTTCAGCCGGAATTTCAAGATTTACAGGAGCGCTACTTCGACATGAGCCTTAAATATGCCGAAGTTGAAGCTGAACTCGCGAAACCTGTACTGCAGCTAAGACAGTCGATAATGGGCGACGGTGGTTTTCTTGAGTACAGAGGTGACAAGTGCACAATGAAAAGTAAGAAATATGGTCTCATCTTCGACTTGATTTAACCATTAAATTAAGAGTCTATTTTTATTAGCAAACTAGCTTAATTCATTTACAACTTTTTTAGAATCAAACTACATTAGTAACTTGTCACAGTCAATAACTTATTTTAATCCAAGTGAATAGAACAACTATTTTTTCTAGGTTTTGGCTGAATAATTCTTCCTTTTAACATATTTTCTGGCTTAGTTTGGTATTGTAATAATTTTTGTTTTTTTTTTTAATTATTGGGAAAAAACTGTTTGATTAAATGAATAAGCTATGCTCATGGCATTGAGCCCACATGTAATTAGATTTAAAAAATTAGTAGGCTAAAATAATCTGGTTTTTACTCATGAGAATATGTTTTATCATTATTATTTTTTACATGAAGTTTTAATTAACTATATATATATATATTTTATTATTTTTTAAAAATTATAATTACAAAAACTACCTGAACAGACCGCAGGCCTATTACAAAAACAAACGTCGGGACAGAAAATGAAACAGGCTTGTTAAACTACTGGACTTAGGAGTGTTGCTTGATGAATCCAGGCCTGACCCATTTTAAAAACACAACCCGCGAAACCCGAAAATTTTCAAAAAAAACCAAAACTTTCAACTTTTAAGAACCCCGGTCTGCAAAATGCAAAAACCCAATCTCTTACCGTCTATTTAAATCCTTTCAAATCCAACCATCCACGTCACCAGTCCGCGTCTTCCAAAAACCAGCCAATCACCACTCACCTCCTCTCCTTATATAAACACATCACAAACTACAACCATCCTATCCTCATAGATAATTCTCAAAAGAAGAAATCCCCCAATTCTTCTCTTAAAAAGAAAGAAAATTCCATCTTAGTCCCTCATTTTCAGGAATCCAAAATGGCTCCCAAGGCAGAGAAGAAGCCGGCCGAGAAGAAGCCTGCCGCAGCAGAGAAAGCCCCAGCGGAGAAGAAGCCCAGAGCTGAGAAGAAGTTGCCCAAAGAAGGAGGGAGCGAAAAGAAGAAGAAGAAATCAAAGAAGAGCGTTGAGACCTACAAGATCTACATCTTCAAAGTCTTGAAACAGGTACACCCTGATATTGGGATCTCAAGCAAGGCAATGGGTATCATGAACAGTTTCATCAATGATATCTTTGAGAAGCTTGCTCAAGAGTCTTCTAGGCTTGCTAGGTACAACAAGAAGCCTACCATTACTTCTCGGGAGATCCAGACTGCAGTCAGATTGGTTTTGCCTGGAGAACTTGCTAAGCATGCTGTTTCTGAAGGGACTAAGGCCGTTACCAAGTTCACTAGCTCTTAGGTGGATAGGGTTTGTTTGGGTCTGTTGTGGGTTTCGCGGAGTTAATCTTTGTGTGTGATGTAAAGGTTGTTTGGATTCTGATCTGAACAAAATTTAATGGGACTTTATTTTAGTTCATAAATTGGCTTTTTTATCATTGGTTTTCAATGATTTTGGCTATGTTTCTTGATATCTCTCAGGTTCGAAGGTTACAAGTTCTGAATCCGAAAGCTAATTTCATGTGGCCTATAACTGTCTGTTAATCGAAATGAAGTTCCAATTTTTATTTTTATTTTAATTAAACTGTGATCAGTAAACGTAATCTAATTAACAGTTCTTGTTTATTGTATCTATAACTTTGCTTTTAAGACATCAAGCTGATGCCAAATCAAATTGATCATGAGCTAAATTTAGAAGATTTTGTATTATTAGGAGTAAAAATAAATAAATAAATATTTTTTGAACCATAAAGATAAAATCAAAACTGGTATCATCAAGAATGGTAGGAATTTCACTCACTGTTTCTCCATTCTAAAGCCGATCATCAAGAATGGTAGGAATATTTTCACATGGAATGAGTTTTTTTTTTTTCACTCACTGTTTCTCCATTCTAAAGCCATTGTTTATTCAAACAATCAGATTTTGATAAGCATTACTATAATTATTCCTATTTTAAAATATGGACAACAAAGGTAAATTTGTCTCCATCACGGACGGACTAGCTCGTTTGCACTGTTTGACCAGGAAGCCCCCTAATGTATTTCCAGTTCCCAAATCAAGTCTCAAAACAAGGTATTTTTTCAAATCAATCCAAAATATTTTAATTTTTTTCAATTTCACCCGTCTTGATTTTAATAAATTTTATTTACTTGTTTTGCAGCCTATAATGTTTTTTTATATCATGAAATATGCAAGTTTTTAGAATGAAAATATTAGTAAACTTTGGTGGAAGGAACAATCTGTGATACTATTTGTTTTTGGACTGAATTGAGAATAAATATATAGTATGGAGACTAGTTTGAGGTTTCCCGTTTGTACCTCCTTCGCTCTTCATATAGACTTGGTTAAAGAAATGGAAGGAAACTCAAAAAATTATTCTCGACAAAACAATTCGAATATTGCCACTTTAAAACAATGCAAAAGTTTCAATGACAATAAATATTCGCTCCCACCAATAAAATAATTTATTATACCGATGGAATTCAATTTATTAATTTTAAAACTAATGATTTGAATTTTTATATAATAAGAAGCAACTATAATTTTTATACTAATATTTTTTTTAAAAGTGCTTCGGATTTTACCTGTAATGTCGTCAAAGGTTTCGTGTGACCAGGGCTAGTTCAGTGCATCCCACTTTCTTACAACGACAAGTTTACCTGACTTCTTCTTCACTGCTTTAGCGCACGAAGTTTCCTTGATGCTGTCGCGACGATTATAGGTAAATGACTTGCATTGATTTGACAAATAAGAGCACAGTTTTAGTAGTAAAAAGTAGAAATAATCATATTTTATAAAAATTATTTGGTAGCACGATGAAGGTTGCATTTTAAATAACTTTTTGTTATAAAATATATATTAATGATATTTTTTTTATGTTTTAAAAATTATTTTTTATATTGATATATTAAAATAATTTAAAAACACTAAAAATATATTAATTTAAAATTAATAAAAAATAAAAAAATTTAATTTTTTTAAAAACAATATTCATGATTATTTTAAAACTACTGAGTTATGTGTTTCTTACCAACTTGTACGAAAGGCCAAAACACCATAGCCACTTTTCTCATCAACCGTTTTTCATGGCTAATAACACTGCTATTCAAGGGATAACATGTTTTTATATATATATATTTTAGTTATCAAACCTTTTTCTTTCAAATTAATACTCTCGCGTTATGTTTATATTAAAAAATCTTGATATTCAATTATATATCAATATTATAAGATAAAATCTTAGCTGATAATTTCAAAATTTTTTTTTTTGTTGGAAGAAAGATCAGAATTAAAAAAAAAAACTCGCTCTTCAAGAGATGTGAAAAAATCAACTTTGATCCCTAAAGTTTTAATTGACACGTATTTAATCTTTATAGTTTTGAAATTTAATATTTTTATTATAAATTTTATTTTTTTTCATGTTTGAATCATTATGTTAAGAGAAAAAAATTAAAGTTATATATAAAAAAGGAGAGATAAAGGGATTGATTGTCACATTTTGGCCAATAAAAATAATCAAAATTCATTATAATAAAAATGATATTTAAAATATTATTAAATTTTTTCATGGTTTTTAAATAAATTTATAGATTTTTATTATGATATTAACAATTATTTTGTTGAACATAATATGCAAAAATAATTTTAAGAATGTGCTCATAGTATTTAGTGAAAAGAAAATGTCTATTTTGTTATTATTATTATTTTTTTTTGCTGTGGGTGTGTTAGATAATTTACTCTCTTCTTTTTTTTTTGTTGTGGGTGTGTTAGATAATTTACTCTCTTCAAGTATTTATTTTTTCTTTAATCATATATAAATTATCGAACCATTATTTGTTATGTTTTTTCATTCAAAATTGCTTTTCATAACATGAAAAATTTAAAAAGCAATGCTTCTTATAAAAGAATATTTTCATCAAAATAAAAAAATACATGAATAAAAAAAAAATTCTTAGTAAAGAGATATATTTTTTTTTACTTAGTTATGAAGATTAAAATTTTTATGGGTTTATATTTTAATTATTTTTAGATTTGACGGTTTCCTATTGATGTGAAGGTTAAAACTTCTGAATCGGAAGGCTAAATTCACGTAGTTTATTACTCTTTGTTAATGGAATTAAGGTTCAATTTTTTTTAATCAGATAGTGATTAGTAGACGTAATCTACTCTGAGGCATTCTTTTGCCATGCACAATAAGAACATGGTAGATTGACTAAGTCTATCACATTATACTGTAGACTCAAAATGTAAAACATCAAGGTGGTTATATCTTCCAGAGCTTATTAGGTAAAGTCCTATAAATATTCATAATAATAAACAAAGTCCTATAAATATTTAGATAGTTATTAATTTTAAAATTAATAAAATTAATTAAGATATACATAAATTAATTCAAATATTCATAATAATAAACAAAAATGTAAAGGGTCCACTAAAATTTCATCTGGAAGAGAAGAGAAACCTTAGTTTTTTCCTTAAAAACAAGCAAAGCCCTGTTTGCAGATGTCTGTCTTCCCACGATCACTGCCGTCTCATTCTCCCAGGCTTGTATCTTTCCCGCCATCAAGTTGATTGTGTTTCGTGGCCTATCACCCTTCAGGTTCTATTACAGAATAAATTTTGGCAAGTTTTTTTCATTTCACTTATCAATCGGTTCTTTTTTATCATTCTGTAGAGACAAAAATCTTGCTCAAAATTGTGTCTGCACAAACGTCATGTGTTCATGTTATCATTAAAAGGCGCAGTAATAAGCAGTTGGAAGTCACAGCAAAACAGAAGTAATTAATGAGACTACAACAGACATCGAATCAAAACGACAACTGACAATGAAGGAAACCTTACATAAAAGCACTCTATAACACAACAAAAAAATCCCAAGAACATGGATGATCAAATTTATCATAAGCTAAATTGAGCAGCAGCAGCGAAGAGAAGAGAAATTTCATGTTGTTCGCACTGTAACTACTAAATACTTAAAATATAAGAGAAAGATATATATATATATATATATATGAGAGGAAATTAAAAAGAAAATTAATAAAAAAAATTCAAATCACTTTTTGGTGTTATCAGGTGGGCGTGTGTATCTGTTTTATATTATAAACATTCAATATTTACGGTGTAAACATTATAAAATTTTGTTTATCAGCATTTATCTAATACTTTTTCTTTAAAATTCGTTGTTGAAGTTGTAATTTATATGATTTATTTTTTAAATTATGAGAGTTCAAATCAGTTTATATAAGTCTTAATTAATTTTTTAAAATTTTAAAATTAATAATTATATAAATTTTTAATAATTTTAAATTTTAAATTTTTATTATAATACATAAACTAAATATTTTTAAAAAATAAAATTAAAAATTTATCAATTAAATTATTCCCCTCAAAGTTTTATTAGTTGAATCTTAGCTGGTTGAGTCATGAGTGCACTCTGCAAAGTGAATTTGTCGAATATATCCTGCACGATCAGCACCCTCCACCACGGGCGGACAGGCTCATTTGCACATTTTGAACAAATCAGCCCCTGATGTATTCACAATTCTCGATCGAGTCTCAAAACAAAGTATTTTATCAAATAAATCCCAAGTGTTCTTAGACATCTCTCAATTTTTTTCTTTTCTCAATCAGTTTTTATTTTATTTTTTTACAACACTGAACTGTTTTATATCATGAGGTATGCAAGTTTGTTAGGAGAATATTAGCAAACTCTGGACCCAGTTGATGCAATGACGATTGCAATGACGATTAAGGTAAATGACTTGCACTGACTGATGGGTGTGGAATTTTCCAGTAAAGTAGCAAATAGTAGAAACGATTATATTTATTGACTGACTTCGTCTTTATAATCCTCACAGTGCCTTGCTATTTATTGTATTGCAGGAACCTGCAAACCCTTATTTGCTTCTGAGATGAGAGATGAATGTTTCAAACAAGAAGTGGAAAAGTTCAGCCAGTGGGGAAAAGCTCTTATCATGATGGGTGTGTGTCTTTCTGGGTGGAAGTGGGATCTGGCTGATATTGCAAAAAGGTAATTTTTTTTTTGGTTCTAAGATGATTAATTAGATCTGCTCTTATACATCAGTAAGGAATAATTTTCCTTTTCGATCCAGGCATGATATAGTCCACTTGACAGTAAATAATTGGTGTTGAATTATATTTTTGATACTGAAAATCTTGTTTGAGCATGTTCAATTGATGATTTGCTTTTGTGTATGCATAGGGATGAATCAAAGTTTATCGAAGATGTGTTGAATAAATTGGATTGCAAAAGCTTTCATGTTTCCAAGCACATGATAGGTGTTGATTCCGGTTTGTTACTAGAAATTACTACGAAAGATGTTTACGTTGTGGGCATATATGGAATGGAAGGAGTGGGCAAGACACCTACAACAGAGTCTGTATTTAACAGACTTTGTTAAATATTACAGGGAAGTTGTTTTTTTTAGAATGTTAAAGAAATCTCAAAACAATGGGAAGTTATGGTTCAATTACATGAATCACTTCTAAAACCAAATATTCTAAGGATCAAAAGAGTTGAAAGAGAAATCAATTTGATCAAAGAACGACTTCGTCGCAAAAAAGTTCTTGTTGTTCTTGATAACATGGGCTAATCCGAACAATTAGATACTTTGGTTGGAGAGCGAAGTTGGTTTGGTCCCAGAAGAAGAGTAATCATTACAACTAAAGATGAACATTTGTTATGAGGCTGGAAAGCTGGATTGACATTCCAGCACAAGATTATGTGAAGCTTTCAAATAGTGTAGTGATTTAGGACTTCCTTTAGCTCTTGAAGTTTTGAGTTCTTGTTTGTTCAAAAGAAGCATCCTTGTATGTTAATGTTTAGTGTTATTAAAAAACTTGGTATTTAGAGAAGACTTAGGTTTTGACATGCTAGATTATGATAAAGCAAAAGCTATAACATGCGGTTACTTTGATTCAGACAGAAAATGTAATCGAGATATTCTATGGCCTTGGTTTCTATTCAGAAATTGATATTAATTGTCTTGTTGATAGTTCTTTTTTAACTATTAACAACTCAAATCAATTAGAGATGCATGATCTGTTGCGAGACATGGGAAGAGAGGTTGTTTGTGAATTGTCACCTAACCGTCCTGGAAAACTTGGCAGAATTTGGCTTCCTAAGGATGTGCAGGGTGTGCTCAACAATCAGACGGTAAGAATTAAATCCGTATGCCTAGTCCGGTCTTGCACACGAACAATTTTCTGTCTCTTATGTCAAATTTTTAGAGTTAACCAAATTTTTTTCTGGATGGATCATCTTCCACACCATTATAGGTGATACTTCTGCTATTTTTGAACTGTTTTCAGTTAACTGAAGTTGTGGCGGGTCTCGCACTAGATGTGCATTTTACATCAAAAAGTCTATCTCTAAGCAGGATGAGATATTTAAATTTACTTCTAATTGATGAAGTAAATCTCACTGGACGATAAATATCTTTCCAAAGAGGTGATATGGCTTTGTTGGCATGAATGCTCTTTGCAATCTTTACCATCCATTTTCAACTGGAGTAGTAGTTCTTGATATACAGTACAGCAACATCAAAGAACTCTGTAATGAAATCAAGGTAAGGCATGTCAATGGAAAGGCTGTCTGTCCAGACAAAAACAACACCTGCATTGTTAGTGATGCCAGAAACAAAATGAGATTCAGGACAGGGAAGGCATCAGAACTATCTGGCCCAATTTGTTGGATGACTGCAGCAATTTAGCAAATACTTTTAAGAAGACTCTTGTTCAGGTTACCTCTCTTTCTCTTTCTGCATGCACGCACGCAGGTTAGTACATTGCATATATGATAAGGTCTGAAATTTAGTTCTACATGAAACAGGCTCTGTGCAAGGGCGATATACCAAGATTGTTTCAGCTATTGTGGAGACGGATCTTCATTATCATTTTATCTTCCAGCAGTTGCAGATGGGGAACTCCAAGCGCTGGTTGTTTGGGTTATTTATGTAGCCAATGCAGCAAATGAAAGATTATTTCGTGATGCATAAGCTTCTGCTGTTGTAAAAAATAATAGCAATGATATTCAATACGTTGAAATGTTGATGTAGCTTCTGTTTCCAGCTGTTTTTAGGTATTTTACATCCCATTTTAAAGCAGTCTGTGGAGGTAAAGGAGAGAGATCTAGTTGAAAGGGTGTGGTTGCCATCAAATACAATGAGAGAGAGAGAGAGAGAGAGAGGAAGGACCAGCCCTGGAACTTTGTTGCCATATCCAGTAGCGGGAGAGACTGCTTGACCACCTCCGTGACACGGAAAGATTTGGCTAATGCCACATTAGGGAGAGGGAAAAGCTCTTTCGTTTTTTGGTGGTCTGCAGCTAATTATACTTCGTTTTATGTCAATAAAGATTTTTTCTTGGCCGGAGGATGTGAAATAACATGGGATGCAGTACCATAGCCATTGTGCCTGCGAAGAACAAAGGGGCTGAAAAATGAAAGAATTTTGTTGGCCAAACATTTTATTTACGGATGAATGAATGGAGGTGGCATTTGTTGTTCCAATTATACATTTTGCAAAACATTCCACATATAATCAGAAAAACAGAGGTAATGACTGGACACTCTACAGACACGAGAGGCTGAGGAGCAGCTTCTCATTCACCTAGAAGGAACTGCCACTGCCTCCTTACAGCCTGACCACTCAATTCTATTCATGTTATAATCAATTATTTCCTATTTCCACATCTTTACAGTATCGAGTATGCTCGGATCACTTCAACAATTGGTGCTCTGCACAACGGGCACTTTCCTCCACCACGGACCAACTCATTTGCACAATTTGAACAAGTGCACATGTGCCCGCACCTGCAATAAGTTTACAAATTGAACAGACTGTTAGTAAACAAACAGCAGCGGGGGAATGAAATCAACAAATCCTAAAATGGTTAGAATGATTTCACAACAAAGAGCTATGATACCTGTACAATAGAGAATCAATATGGCTGTCACAGCAAACACAGCATGTCCCTTTCTTTACATGACCCCATTTAGACCCATCCTCAGATGTCTCAGCACCCGACCCTGCAACATAATGAATCTTTTAAGTTCAGAACCAAAGAGAGTAGATGATCAACAATTCACTGAGAAAAACTGAACGTCAAGTAGCCAACAAAAACCTTTTTCACCAGCTGATCTATTCAGAGCAGCAGAGACTTCCTGTCTGACCGAACGTTGCAATTCAAGCTGCATATCCATGCAGGCTTCCAACATCCTCTGCATGTGGCTCATTCCTTGCTGAAGTCTTGCCATGTCTGATCTCAGATCATTAATCATCTCCCATTCCTGCTCAGTATCAGTATCAGCATCCACATTCAGATAACAGTTGCAGTCACAGAAATAACAGCTTGCAGATTTAGAATGCTACAACTACTGGAAAAATACTACAAAGCTTTTTGGAAAGGAATTACATCCTGTTGAATGTTTTCATGGTATCATATCAGAATGTCATCAAACTATTTTTAGACCGGCCAAAAGGTTTCTGTCAGTATGATGACCAAATTTGGAAACAGCAGGGAAGGGAAACTAATCTGCAAGCCTTTTCAGTTTTCCGATATATGGCGCAATGATTCTGTACCTTGAACTATTAGATCATACAAAATGAAGCCATTTGATTTTCAGAACAAGTCAGGAAGTTGAGTTTTTGTGTGATGCAATCAGACAAAATGTGCCAAGAAATTCAACAAAGAAAACTAAGATTATAAATGTGATCATAAAACAAAATAAATTGTCTCAAGGCCTGTAGAGGAGAAGATGACTCACAAGTTCTGATCGATGCATGCTATGACGAGACCAGCTAGTGCGGTGCAAATCCTGGTGCCATAGTGGCTGAGGTGGAGGCACTGGTGGAGATGGCAAAACCAGTGAAGGTCTGTTTATGGCATCACGTTGACCCTCATTGTGTTCATCTCTCTGCTGCTCCTCATCTCGCTCTGGTGATGAGGGAGTTGGTGTTGGCAAGTTTCTGTGCAAATCCCAGTCAATGGGAGAACGACCTTGCCTTTCCACATATGACTGTATTAAATGGTCTAGGCTTTCACGGAAACCACTTCGAAGAAGATTAGACACACTTCTCCTACAGCAGGAAAAACAAATTTGTTCAATGATCAAAGTTAATTTCAATGACTTTCAACCATAAAAGGCCTTCGGTAAAAAATCAATTACCTGCTCAACAGTTCTCTAAGCTCCATGCTATACACATTATCATCATCGGGAGGGTGAAATCTATTGAATCTTCTCATTGGAACAGAACGGTGAGTTCTTAGAGGATCAGAAGGCCCCTCTGTCCAATTTTGAACAGCTTCCCTAGTGCTGTCCCCCCGCCAAAGTTCCTGGGATTCCTGTGGATGACCTTGTTCACCAAGCACATTTCCAGGTGTTTCCCGGGACCATTCATTGACTGAATTCTCTTGCCAATTTACATCCAGCGGGTCCGCGTTGCTACCTCTCCATTCATCTAACTGACTGTAGTTTGACTGTCGCCAGTTTCCTCTCTCATCATCGGCAACTTGTTCCTGCCAACCTTCTCCTTGATTAGCAGTTTCTTCCCAATTCATGTTGCCAGCAGCAGGGTTGCTCTCTGAGCTGTTTGTTTGATTAGGCAAATGACGCATGTCACTTTCTTGACTCCTAGGTTGTGATTGATCATTCTCATCATGTTGGATGTCCTGAGAAGTGTTTGTTTGAGTCTGATCATTTCTAGTATCATTTATGTTATTATTAGGGGTGGTATCAGAATGGCTGCTTACCTGACCACGAACAATATTTTCCAACCTGGAGCGGAACCCTTCCCTGAAAGAGAAAAGTCATTTGCCATTAGGGTGTCAATTGAAAATCATTTTTTTTTTCATTGTTCAAAAACTGCAATAGCAGCAGCAGACATTAATCAAGCTCAAATAAGCAATATATGGTAATAAGATCAAATTTTTAAGAGGACACAGCATTGCTACACAGCAAGAATCCAATGTTCTTTAACCAGAAAAGATAGTCAAATTTCAGAAGGGGGACAGAGGAAGGAGGAAAAAAATGTTGGTTTCTTCTTTCCAGGCAAGATGATATGGTGTGTTTTCAAAATTATAGACTTTTCAGGATCAGGTTTGAGTCATCTTTCAGATAATGGTGAGAAAAAGGTAGCAATGAGTCATCTTTTATCAGATAATGCTGTGAGGGGTGAAAATTTTGCATCAGTTGCTAAGCGGTATATCCTTAAAACTGTTAATTTTGTTATAGTGGTTTTGAAAGTGATACAAACTGATATCTTCATCTTAAGCAATTTATGATAAAATATCAGCAGCACATGTGCACAATTAGATTATGTTCAACCTTAGAGCTGCAACCTCCACCCTCCTTAACACATGGTACATATTTTGGTTAGGTTAACAATACAAATCAAACTTAAGATGTATTCACAGCAAAATAGATCCATCACTGCCTCCAAATGCATTTTGGATTTTGCTTTCAATTATTCCTGATCACCTCCAAACACCCAAACTCAAAAGTCAGTAATGCATTTATGTGTATAAATCCACTGATATATCTCATCTTACTGTTGATATCACCAATATAAATGTGAAAATGTGCCATTTAATGCCCCAAGCAAAACTGGCACTACAATCTAGTTGCTAAACTAAGAAAATTTTCACACTAAATGCAATGAGCCCTAGGTTACAAAATCATTTTTTCCCACCATCACATGCATGTGCACAAACAAACAATGAATTTGCCAAACCACCAAATACAAATACCATCCTCTCATCTATGATTAGAAAAACTAGAAATTTTTTGTTGAATAAATTGAATTTGGCAGCATTATAATTCCCATTCTAACACATGAATTTCCTTATCTAGTCAACAATCAACAGTCGAATAATTGATGGATTACATACAAAAAGACAAATGACAGAACTGCTCAGGAGAACAAGAAATATTTCAATGGCAAATTTTTCTGAATCACTCTTGTGAATGAAAGTTGTATTCCATGTGTTTCCTTGATAGGATGATCCTAATATATTTCTAAACACAATTTGTATCCTCAATCAAATCATCCTAAACAACATGCTGCTTAGAAGGCAGATAAGGTAAATAGTATCCTAGAAAGCACAATTTGTGTTTGTACAATAAGATGAACATTATCAATAGTATTCTAAGGATTTACACAGGAATTGAAAAACAAAATGCATACCTTAAGCCAGAAACAGTGTGTCGCTGCCTTAATTGAACTAGTTCCCCAGCAGCTATGGAAGGCGGTCTCTCCTCTTCAACCGGTCTTTCATTTCGCAAGAATCTACCTCTTAGTAATGACTGGAAAATGTTTAAGCATGAGCAATCACAGTAAATGAACTAGAAGAGAGAATTTCAAATCACCATAAAAAAAGTACATTTTCAGAATGTTTTTATGATTTGCTTATTAAGGTTCCCCTTAAACAATTTATTTTAACTGAATTTAATTTAGATCAAGCGTGGCAGCTGTTAGCCTTGAGGAGGGATATATAGAAATCCCTGTATGTTTAATTAATCATGAAGTTAACATAACCTTACTTTCTAATATCTTTACATAGATCATTGAAAGAAAGAAATATATAGTAGCATAGCAAAACGCTGAACTTATAAACAATGAAATTATTTTAAAACAAGAAGCATTGCAACTTATACTGATCGTATTGCTGAATATACACAGAACAACAAGTTAGGTTAAATTACTAATAAATGCTACCAAATAAAAAAAAATCATTTACAACAAAGAACAGACCTGAATGCGGTTGCGGTGAGCAAAATCCGAGACAGCCCGATGCTCCAATAATCCCTCAAGCTCCCTCTGTCTTTCTCTCTCGATCCTGACAAGCAAGTCAAGAATTGCTTGTCTTCCACGCAACCTCAGCATGTCCCTGCGAATATGCTCTGTTTGCCCTTCATCATGATCAGCAACCAACCCATCACGTGCTCTGTCAACTTGTGCATTATGACCAGCAGCTTGATCTTCCCTTCGACTCACTCGAGCTCCTCGCTGCTGACTTGCCATCTGCACCCACTCCCTGACAATTCTAACCCTTTCCCTCTCTGTTTCACCAAGCCATTCTGCTCTAGGACTGCCATTCCTTTGGGATAGATTAGATGCATGATCACTAATGCCAGTCTCCATCCATCCCCGAGCAATCTGTCTCACACTCCTCTCAACTTCTCCAATATCAGGAGATTGCTCCCTGCTAGACTCATTATCCCCATGCTCATTCCGTGACCTCGTATGCTCATGTGACCAAGGTCCATAGTCATTTTCACTCTCACTTGCATCCACCAAACTTCCCTGATTCTCACTCCCGCGACTCTCTGATACATTTGAAACTGACATGTTTATATTAGAATCAGCATTCCTTCGCTGCCTCAACCTCTCCCTTCTATTCAACAAATGCTCATCCTCCAACTCCCGCCACATTTGCAAAATCGCAGATGCCTGAGTGCTCGGCCTTTCCGCTGCCCCCTGCCTTCTTGCAGTAGGCAACTGCGATTCCCTCAGAAACGAGGAATCAAGCATGGAAACAGTGTGCAAACCCGCAAGTGCCATCAACTCCGACTCACGATTACTCCTCTCCATAGTAGTTATCATCTCTTGTGCCTGGCGAGCAGCCCACCTACTCAAAATTCTAGAGTGGCGCCTTCTTGCAGCTGATGACTCAGCCAAATCATCACCCTCGAGATCAGACCTCCGTCTCCTGCGCACAAGCTGATCACCTTCATCATCCTCATCATCCACGTTACGATTAGAACTACACGAAGCAAATGGCATACAACCATCCAAATGCCCACGCATCAATTCCTCCAACCCCCTCTCAAATTCCGTGCGAGCATCATCTGTTGATTCAGGTTTTTGTTGTAAGAAATCAGTCATCCTCACACAATCCCTCCACCTACCCCGACACCTCACAACCTCCACTCTCAAAATTCACACCCCCCTTTTAAAAAAAATAACCCTTCTTTAAATCCACTAATTACACATAATCCCTTCATTACACAATCCTAAAGCTTATTAAAAAATAACATCAAACGCTAAAAATCCAAATGCAAACCCTAAATTCTGTCCCAAATTCAAACCAAATATAAATAAAATCTATTGCCTAAGTTGAATTCTGATTGTCCCAAATCGATACCACCTGATAACATTTAAAATGTCAAAAAAAAAACTTTTAAGCAGAAAAAAAGAAGAAGAAGAAAATTAACCAAATTGAGAAAATTAAGGATTAATATTTTTGACAAAAAAACATACCTGGTAAGCTATGTCTATAACGTTGTTTTTTCTTAATGTCTTACGTTTGGGTTTTGCTTTGTGGATGTCAGGGAGAAACCAAAACAAAAACAAAACAAAAAATGATATTTTTAAAAGGAAAAGGAAATGTGAAGTGTAAAGAGAGAATTGTTGAAGAAGAGAAGGGAAGAGAGAGATCGCAGGAGGGAATTATATCAGAATTTATAATTAGTGTCCATAGAGATTTTTTAGAGAGAGAAAAGAAATTAAGAGTGTTTTAGAGGGAGAAAGCTTGAAGAGAGAGAGAGAGAGAGATTTTATTTGTTTTTTATTTTCTTTGTTTTGTTTTGTTTTGTTTTTTATTTTTTTTTCACTCGGGAAAGGACCGCGGATCCAAAGGGAGCGGCGGGCTTACGATGATTGACACGTGGGAGATTATGGCTTTTTAATTTTGAGCTGTTTTTTATTCTTATTTTATTTGTCAATTGCCTAATGCCACGTCATAAAATTGGGAAGGGTCTGCACGAGCAACATCTGGCTTTTTTCCCTGATCTAACAGTAAAACGTTGGATGTTAAAAAAGAAAAGGAAATTGTTGAATTAATTTTTTTTTTAAAAAAAATAAAGGCTTCATCTACGTTTAAATTTTTTTTAAAAAAAAAAGAGAAAAATAAGATTAACTTGCATTCCAAGTTTTTGCGTGAGTCTATGGTATTTAAAAAAAAAAATACTTTAAGACAAATAAACTATCTTTGATAAAATCAACTCAAGAATTTTTTAATTTAGCTTGTTACTAGTTTTTAAAAATAATAATTTAAGATTAATTTAGTATTATAATACCAGCTCAATTAAAATTTAATTTAATTTTTTAAAGTTAAATATTTCAAAACAAAACATGTTAGCCTGAGATAATTTGTTCAATTTATATAACTCAGGGTTTTAAACTTTGTAAAAACTTATTTGTTGATGTTTTAGGTCAGTTTATTAACTAGTTATTATCAATGTTATTAAGTATAATGAGTATTATAAAGAAATTTATTTGAATACATTAGATCAACCACCATCGCCAACAACTATTCAACACCTAACAAAAATTAAATGCTACAAAGTTAATTTATGTAGCATAGATGAAGTTGTTTAGCAGAAAGATTACAAGATTGATTAGAAAATTGAAGATTAATTTTAAATTAATACTAAAACAAACAGATTGATCAGCAAAATGAGAGCAAGATCTAACAAAGACTGTTGTGATGATGATTGGTTTGTCAGTCAAGGAGTACTCTTTTTCTTTCTAAATGGTATATAGACAATTAACTGTCAATTTAAGGGAAAATATGATCTTGGTACTGCCCAGTGTCCAGGCAGCAGGTATATTGCTAGCCTGTCACTTTTCGGGATTTTAAGACAGCCTAGGACCGCGGCTTGCAGATGGGATTGTATTAATTTGATTTCAAGGTTAAAATTGTGTAATTACAGCGAGGCTTTGTTTGTTTTCAGTAGCTGCCTTCTATTCCATTTATAGATTTAAAAATATATTTTACTTAATAACATATTAATTATAATTCTGAATGAATTTTATCAAAAACATTCTCTTGAAATATTAGTTAAGAAAAATATATAATTTATATCTTTTCCTAAATTAAATTATTTTTTTAAATCAAGGTTTTGAGAAGCTAGTGAATTAATTAGAGGATGGATGGTTTTTTAACTGGATTAGATGGACGATGTATATATATATATAATCACAAGAAATCTGGCTAAAAAATACTATGTATCAATCTGCCAGATCCAATAAAAGAAAATCTCCTTGCCCAAGTTTGGTGCCATGTCATTCTAGCTATAACTTGTTATTTTATTTGAAAATCTGGCAATGCACTGCTTAAAATATTACCCAAGTCAACAATTATGTATGCTTGTGTGCTCTTTAATTGGATGGTCAAGTTATTGTTTATTAATTATATTCCAAGTCAACAATTATAAATGTTTGTGTGATCTTTAGATGGTCAAGTTATTGTTTATTAATTATATATAAATATAAAAAACAAGAAGCCAACATTTCTTACGTAAGTGGAGTTGATAGAGCACGTGTTTTTTTATTTTGTTTTTTGTTAATATTTAGAAAGAGGAGAATTCACTAAAAATGAAGAAAAGAAGATTAATATAATGGAATTATCTGTGCCCTGGCCTAAGATCATGGTATGACCCAAAACATAAATCCGATTAAAAAATCAAGATACATTAACTCTGTTACTGTTATTATTATTATTATTTTCACAGATCTTAGCGTCAACTCTCATCATGAAAGGTACAAGAAGCATAATAATTAAATTCAAAATGGGGAAAATAATGAAAATGGCAGGAGCGCAGAAAGGTGAGGGGCTAAAGGTGTAGACTGAAGCCCACTCGAGGGAATATGGAGTTTACTTGAGGGAGTCCTAAAGGTAGAAAGCAAAAGCTTTGGAATATTTCTCCTCTTCAGGCGAAGAAGGGAGGAAGGAGCATATGGTAGCTTGAGATGCCAAGAGGGAAATCAGGCCCTTGTCTTACTCTTTGTGATCAAAATTGGGTGTTGGTGTTGGGTGATGAGCATCATTCTTGTACGTTGGTCTGCCTTTTTCAATGACGTTGATGTTGCAAATGCATGTATATTTTTTTCATGCCATATAAAAAAATTAGGTCAAATCTTGATTGGGGTGCTGCACCATACTTGAAGCTATAGAAAAGATCTCCATTTTTAGCATGCCTCAAGCATTGAGGATTCTATGATCTACTCGTGCTCATTAAACTAACTTGACCTATACTAATACTCGAGAAATAGTATAGTTTGTGGGGTTAATTTGAATTGATTTAAAAAAAATTAGTAAAGTTAAAATAATATTATTAATATATTAATAAATTTTTTAATTAGGTCATGTGTCAACATGGTTTTTTATCCGGTTATTAGAGGTAATTTTCTTTATTTTTTTATAAAATTTATATCAATTTAAATCTTTGATGAACTCATTAAGCGGACCCAATTTTTTTTAACAATGGATCTACTTTCAGCTTTAATATATTAAGGCAAAAGAAGCACTAAATTCTTTTCAACTACCGTGCACCTTTTTTTTTTCAGTTTACTTGCTCGAATTTTGAATTAATTATGAAATTAAGGTTGTCTAAGATTTATTAAACCTTTCAATCAATAAAAAAATGATGCCATTAACAAATTATTGAATGGTTTTATGCTTTTTTTTCAAAATTTTAAAAATCAAAGCAAACACCTTTTTAAGAAAGGACCCAAAAAATCTTGTTTAGGGATTTTTTTTTGCTGTTTGCCTGATTTTAGAATTGTATTATCTTTATTTTGATATGCACAATAGAACAAATATATATATACTTTGTCAATAAAATACTCTTTCAAGAGCTTCTCCTTTTTTTTCTATTAGATCTTAAGGGGGCGTAGTCGAGATCCGTCGAGTCAATCTAGCTATTTCTTTTCCTTCTTATTTGCCGAGTGAGAATTATTCATCCATGTGATGTGATTAAATAAACTTTTATTTCCCATAATAATTCATACTTTTGAAATAGAAACCATTGTCTATAGAAATTAATAATAATTAAATCCACCTTTTCCTCCTTTTGTTCATGTCATGACATCGAAAGTGACCAACCCTGAAACCACTCAAGACTTCACTAGTGATTGGAGAACAAGATTCTCTGAACTTGCTTCCTCGCAAAGTCAAGAAAGTATTAAGCCGAAATAAATGCAATTTAAAGCTCAAGTAATTAAACCACTACTCATTGATCATCTTCAAGCCATAAAATTATACACAAAAATTACTTGTGTCGATCGAGGGGTTATTCTTTCATTAATTATTAGCAAATGTCCATAACATTTGATACATGGGAAAAAAAAAAAAACTTTTGTTAGTGCATGGACCCATTAATCAAAGAGTTTGAACTTGTATAATGACTAAAAATTTGCAAGGATCAATGGATATCTTAGTTCTTGACAAACACTCGCAAGTTTGACCAATTAAAATTTATTTTTTTCGAAAGTAACTCCCATTTTCCCATTATATTTTTTTTTCCTTTAACAGCTTAATTTACTAATTATTAACGTGAATAAAGGTCAAGCCCTGCCTCTATCTATTTGTATTGCTAGACTGAAACTAAATTTATAACCTGATGATGTGTGCCTCTATACACTCTAAGACATATTGTGTCGTGTATGCGTCAGAACCACATGGCATATATATTTTGTCTTTAAAAGAGCACGACATCAATATCATAACCAAAACTATATGTTTCTAGTAACATTAATGTGGGTGTTAGTCTAATATTTTTTTTCTCTTAACTGTCAAGAGAGTTTATTAAGACTATTTTTTATGCAATACAAATTAAGCTTTTTTCTTTGGTTGGATTTTAGATAGATCACGTGTATTTAGGTTTTTATTATATCAATAAAAACACATCTACCTTATTATTTTCATAGAATAAGAGTTAATGTATCCATGCGCCTTTATATATTAGTTGTTTTTTTTTTCATTTACTATTTTAAGAATTTTCTACTCTCGTATTCCCACATATTGATACTTTCTATCAAAAACCCGTTTCCTTCTCCTTTTTTTATTTTATAAAAACATCCTTTATAACACTAGAAAAATATTAATTTTTAAAATATAAAAAATAAATTAGTTTTCACAAACTTAATATGTAGAACTTGAAAAATCCATGAAATAGAAAAAAATAGAAAACTAGAAAAGATTTCAAACATCTCAAGAAAATTAAAATAAGTTGTTTAATATATATATATATATATAAAGAAATTCGTAACTAATGAAATTTTTGGAAACACTATATCCTACAAACTTATGTCGTTGCTATAGATGTATTTCTATTTATGAGGTTTCATGACACTTTTTTTATCTTTTATATTTTAGGTTTTTTATATTTTTATTCTTTTCAATTATTTCCATGGTTTTCGTGTTCTTTAGAGATAAAATTTAATTTTCTCAAGGAATTTCAAAAATAGATTTTTTTTTAATTATTGCAAGGTATTTTTCATCTAAAAACAACAAAAGGAGTATAAAAACTATTTCAGGGTATTTTCATCTAAAAACAACAAAAGGAGTATATAGGAGAAAATATAAAAACATATGTGCATATAAAAGTGTGTTTTTTTTTAATAACATATAAGATAATAAAGAATAGGTGAATTAACTAACCCTAAAAAATCCCTATATATGATCTCTCATTAAATTTAAAATCGAGATAATAACATAAAAAGAAAAAACAATAAATCCAAGCCAGGATCAAAGAGCAGTTGCAAT